GAGTGCTCACTGGAAGGACAGATCTTGAAGCTGAGGCTCCAATACTTTGGCCATCTCATGAGAAGAGGGGCTTCATGTCATCAGTACACTGATGATACTCAGCTTTACATCCCCCTTTTTCCAACAATAGTGGATGCTATTTCATCCCTTGAGCGCTGCCTGGAGGCCATTCAGCAATGGTTGCAGGAAAATGGACTGAGGCTGAACCCCGGCAAGATGAAGGTCTTTCGGGTGGCTAGCCCCGATGTCAGTGGTTTGGGAAACTGGAATGAGCTCAATCAGGAACTGCCTTTGAGACTGATGCAGAAACTTCAGATGGTGCAGACTTCTTACAGGGGTGAAAAGATATCACCATATTTCCCCCACTCTGGCCACCTTGCATTGGCTGCCCATTCGTTTCCACGTTGATTTCAAAGTCCTAACGATGACATATAAAGCCCTAAATGGTTTAGGACCTCCATATCTGATGGAACACCTTCTCCCAACCAGTTCTGCCAGAGTCACTCGTTCTAGCCAGGCCGCAAGGCTGAGAGGCCTAACGCCATGGGAGGTCCGGAAGGAAAGAACAAGGAACCGGGCCTTCTTGGCAATGGCCCCTTGCCTCTGGAACAACTTGCCCGTGGAGATCCACCTGGTTCCTTCTCTGAGTGTTTTCAGGAGTAAAGTTAAGACCTGGCTATTTGGGTAGGATATCTCTCCTGCCCTATCTTAAATTTTGACATTTTTGCCATCTTGGTTTCATAGTATACATTTACTGGTTTCAGTGTTCTTAACTTAAATTAATGCTGCCCAGAGTGGACCTTTGGTCTAGATGGGCGGAGTAGAAGTCAAACAAACAAACAAACAAACAAACAAATAAAATCATAGCCTTCTGCAATGAGGTATCTTGCAGACAATTCAATAATCTGCACAACAGAAAATGTTATTGCAAACAGGAAACGAATCCTAGCTGAACAGGAGGGCAAAGCTTCTGAAAGACATAGGACATTTTATAAATATGTTGAGTTTCTATGAACTAAAGAGGTTTCTGTAGAGATCTGCTAAACAAAAACAAATCATATTGTATATTATCTGTTGCAAAACAGGCCTATATAAGAACAAACATCTAAGAAGGCCCACAGTGGGTGTCTCTGCACTTTGTGGCAAATGGAAAGATAAGAGAAGAATTCATCAGCCATTTCATCAACTCTGCTGCCTCCTCCCCATGCCATTTTTACAGTCCATTATTGCCTACATATAAACCATTTCAGAAATGGATGGATGCTTGTGTGCCCTGCAAGAGACTTACAGTACTGCATTTTACATGGCTATGTGTCAGTGAACTAATTATTCCTTTTTTAAATTCTCAAGTGGCAGCAGGAAAAGAGGTACCCAAATTTGAGATGTATTGACTTCATAAAAGAAACAACAGGTTTGAGTTTGCAAGAGCTGAGCAGGGCTGCTAATAAGGCATGTTGGAGGTCACTCACTCATAGTCTTGCCAAAACTCAGAAGTACATTAGAACAGGTGGGTTTTAAGATACAGATTGATCTTATGTTGGACGTAATTGATTGCAGATGAACTATGAGAGCAAAAGGCCTGATTCCTACTGAGAAATACCACACACATATGCAAGCAGTCTTCACAATTTTCTGGCCTTCTGTTGCACACTCAGGTGTGCAACCATGCAGGCAACTATGTGATCTGGTTATGTACCAGCACAAAACAGGCAGATGAAATGATTGCGCACAACAATTATGCAATTTATGCTACACAAGCCCAAGCTGGTCCTAGATCAAATCAAGCCCAAACTATGGAAGCAAAAAATGTTGAAGCTGAGGTTGTCCTACTTTGGGCTCATAGTGAGAAGACAGGATTATCTAGAAAAGACAATAATGCTGGGAAAGGTGGAGGGCAACAGGAAAAGAGGAAGACCAAATATGGGATGGATCAACTCCCCACAGGAACCACAGGCTTGAGTTTACAAGATCTGAACAGGGCTCTTGAGGACAAGACATGGGTCGCCATAAATCAGGGGTGACGTGATGGCATGTAACAGCAGCAGCAGCAGCAGCATTGCTGCCCAATAGGATTCTGGTCAATAGATATTAAAGCTGCATCCATAACATGGTTTTAATTCTTGATTTTAAAAGAACCTGGGTAACATTGCTGTCCTTAGTTTCTCCTGGTCTCTGAAAAGTGACTGAGAAGCACTTACTATTCCTGTATACAGTATTGCAATGCCATCTTGTGGTTCATTTTGAAAAGGAGATAGTTGCCTGTTTGTAATCTGAAGACAAGGATGTGTGACCACTAAAATCTTAGAACACAGTGAGTCTTCAACAGGCTGGGCATTACAAAGCTGGGGTGGTAAGGAAAACCATAGATGTTTCAAATCTATAGCAAGGTTTGTGGGCCAGTCTTTTTGTTTAAAAGAAGCTCAAAAATAAGGGCTGTAGAATTCATTCAGAGATGTCTCACATATTATCATTTTAGAATTGCAGAGCTGGAAGGGATCCTGTGGATCTTAGGATCCAGCCCCTGTCAGAGAGGCACAGTAGGGAATCAAACTCCTGACTTCTGGCTCTCCTGAACTGTCCAGCATATCACCAATAGCAATTTGGACTAGAAAGCCTCAAACGTGTTAGTCATCATGTCCTTTAAACATATCCATACCCTGCCTTAGATTGAAATATGAGGTTTCTTTTTTGCTCGGGAACAGAGGCACACAGAAAACACCAAAACCCACACGAGAAAAGTTTGGGAGGGGAGAGATTAGGTTACACACTAGCTAAACCAACTGCAGCCAAATTGAAATTAGTACCTAGTGGGTGGAGGAACATCTTGTCCTGAGTTTGCAGTTCTGCTTAGATGATGTTGAAGGACTTTGCTTGTTAAGAAGTGATACCTGTTCTCTTCTTTTTACGTACCTCTTGCCCAAAATGGTGCCAAAAGTGAAGAATGAGGCCGTCCTGGCTAAGAAGGAAGCAAAATTCAAACCACTTAAGCTAATACCTTATTTAGCTATTCAGAGTATCTTCCATAGGCCAACAAACAGAAAACATGAGTGTGGTTGTTGAACAGAATTTAGAAAGCTAGCTTCTGTATGAACAATTCACTTCTGTGTATTCCGTACCTAGAAAACCATGGAAAGGGTATGTTAACCCCGAAAATCGAGGCAATTCTCCGGCAGAGGCAGCAGACTAAGACACGAGACAACCAGCTGTATAGAATGCCAATTATTTATTAAATTACACAGCTAGGGCCCAATCTCTTAAAAGCAGAGAAGAGCCCCGAAACACGGGTGCATAGATGTTTTATAGGGATACACACAAAGGGCCGTAAACAGTTAGATTCTGATTGGTGTCCTGAACCCGAAACTTTGGATCTCTATGCCCATTGGCCCTCACTGTTCTGTAGGTCTGACTTATTGGCTATACCTGAATGTGCATATGATACGCATGCCCCCTTGGCCTTAAGGTTATGAATTACTCAGATGGCGACTACGTGTCTGATTTGACAGTACCCAGATATTCGTTTTAGCTCTGTCGTTTTGTTTATTGTTGCATTGTATATGGTGGCCTTCAAGTAACAGCTTTTCCCTTGGTGTCAAGATGGAAGTGCCTTAGCTTCCTCCCTACGCATACCAAGGGTGCCAATTATCTCCTTAATTGCCCTCTGAGCAGGCCCGTTGTTTTGGGAAGTGAAAATGTTGTGTTCTGTGCCTTGGGGCGATATCTCTCAGCTAGCAGATGGAAGGCCATTGAGGCGCTATGTGTTTTGATATGCAAGGATGTGTCTGTAAAGTTAGCACCCTGGTGTGACTGTGGCAAGAGTCAGAAGAGATCTAAGTCAGGGTCAGTCTACAGTAAAAGCAGTTTCTAATACAGATCCATTCGGATACAGATACATTCAGATACATAAAGTTACACAAGTATTCATGTGCAAGACGTTACAATAATTAAGTTGTATTGAAACTAAATACAATTGCTGCGTTGTGGAAGAAGCAATGGGAATAAAAGCGGTGCATGAAGTGAGATACAATAATAATAAAATGCTTATTTGTTAACCCCAGAATGGCCAGCCTTCAGGTCATCAAAAGTCAGTACCTTTACCTGTACTGACTTGACAACATGCTATTATTAATGTATCTATCACCCACCCTTGCCTTTAGATTGTTTATGAGGACTGTGAAGCTTTTTTTCCTGTTTAAATTTCTGCTCGTATAGTATTTGAGCAAATCTTAAAAGCTATTTTCCTCATTCTTTGTAAAAAGAGAATTCCTTTCTTGTTGCATTTCCAAGACTTCATTACTTCCACACTACAAATTATTGTCTGCAGATCATTCCTTTATTTGTACATCTTTTGCTCTCCAGTATTAAAAAAATGATGTTTTCTGTGAATTTCATTCACATCTTTTACCGTGGAAGCAGATTATATAGTATGTGGTAATTTTTTTATTTACTTAAATGATTGTTATCCTACCCTTCAACCAAAAACATTCTCAGCAAAGTTTACCCATCACTGGTAAAAGACAGACCTTGCTCTCAGGATTGCAACACAAAAAAACAACACAAAAGGAAAAAGGGACGAGGGGAAGAGATTGTTTCCTAAGAGGGCTAACAGGACAGTGCTGCTCCCCACTCCATTGTCTTTTGGGGGAATGGCTGCTAATGGTGGCCAGCGAGAGAGGACATCACAGAACTGGCCCTTTACAATCTCACTGCTCCTTCCAAGGAGCGTCACTCACTGCAAACCCAGGGCTAAATAACTCGGGTCTTGGGTCGTGTCCTGCCAGCCCATTCTTACGCTGCATTAAGTGCTTGCCTTTTATACAGGATGGTTCCTTTCAATCCTAGAGCCTCAAGAGCTGTTTGTGTTTCAAAACAAAAAACAAAGCAGGCTGGGCTGAATTATAAGCCTGACTTCTCCCACTGGAAAGCAAAACGGCGACTCGGGAGAAATGAAACTGATCGCTCACCCGACCCAGCAACGTGCAGTTTCGCTTCCCCGACAACTAGATTCCCTCAGATTCGGTTTCCATTTCAAGGAGGATAGTAAAGAAACAGCCGGAGACAAAGATAAAGGAGAGGGGCAAATATAAAAAGGAGGCAGCGGTAAAGAAAGAGTAACCGTCCGCTTGCTGAGGGAAGAAAGACGGAGGTTTCCGTTAGAACTGAAACATGGGGTAAGTGTAGTTAACGGTCAGTCCCCCCAGGGCAGTCTGGGCTTCACTGCTTGCTTTGCTTAATCTGCTCTTTGGCACTACGTGAAGAAAGGAAGGACGGCTCCGGGTACTAGGCTTCTCACGGATTAAAGTGCTTTTTTCCTCAAGGGTATGATCTGGTCTTTTCAGTGACATATTTTGCCCCTTAAGGTAGTGTTTCTCTCTCTCTCTCTCTCTTTTTCCGACTAAAAGGAGGATTGGTTTTCCCCATGTTTTTAAACTGCATACTCTTTCTTCCTTCTCACGCACACTCGCCCCCTGAAAAGTCAGTTTTGCAGCTTCGGTGTGTACTCCTGGACTCCACCCTGAGCATGAATGCCCACGTTTCAGAGGTGGCCAGGAGTGTATTTGCACAGTTGCAGGTGGTGGGCCAGTTGCACTTGTTCCTTGAGATGTCCATTCTGGCCACAGCGTCACATCTCATTTGCATTACTACAACACACTCTCCCTGGGGCTACCTTTGAAGACTTTGGAAACTTCGACTAGATCAGGATGCTGCAGCCAAATTGCTGACTGGTGCTGGAATCATAGGGAGCATGTCACTCCTTCATTACAGCAGCTTCACTGGCTACCAATCTGTTTCCAGGGCCAAATTCAAAGTCTTGGTTATTACCTCTAAAAGCCCTATATAACACGACTAAACGACTAAACACACACACACATATCCCTTATGAGCCATATCAGTTTTTAAGACCTTCTCTCAGTTCCACCACCTTCCCAATCTCCTTTGGCAAGGACAGGAGAGAAGGCCACCTTAGGGGCTGCTTGCAGGTTTTGGAAAAGCCAGGGTGGCCCCTTCCCCCTTTGTCCGTCAGTTGTCACATCAGGACTTTTCTTTCAAGCCGGCTTTTAAGCAGCAAGTGTCTAGAGAATGCTCCATTTGGTGGAATTTGGACATTTTAAATTGTTTTTTTTTTTAATGGCTTTTAATTCTGTGTAATTTTTGATCCATAGTTTTGTATGGCATGTTGAAGTTGTTACTCTTGTTTGATTTTAATTGTTGTGAGCTACCTTTGGGCCCCCTATGGGGAGAAAGGCAGCATATAAATAAATTACATAAATAGCCACAGCAGCCATTTCCTCCATATTCCTCCCCATCTCAAGTACAATACCTGGATGGAGGAAGAGCCCCTGTGAAGATGAAGCTTAGCTCAAGATGCTACTGCCACCGCCACCACTTTTTCCTCAGCCGTCTTTCTTCACCTTACTCCTCCCTCCCTCCCTCTTTTCTTTCCTGCATCTTGCCTTTTGTTTGTTATATGGGGGGGGTGTATTATGTGCTGGTCTTTCTTCCCGAGACACTCATGGTCTGGACCTGGAAAGTTCTGTGCTCTTTGGCAACAAAAAGTAAGAACCCAGGGGAAGAGAGGATTAGACTTTTTCTCCATCTGGGAGGTGTCTTCGTTTGGTAAACTATTCATTGGGCCATCCTAAGCACGTTTTGTAATTGGAGCTAGGGAGTTTTAATGACAGTTTTTTTTTTCAATAGGCAAGTAAAAATTATTATACAAAATAAACACACATATACAGGTATACATATTTTATAGCAGATGTAACAGCTGTGAGGGAAGTTAACTGTTTTTGGACTTATCAGAATGAAAGAGGGGAGGGGGGGAAGAAAAATCCTGTGCCACTTGGAAGACTTAAAAGATTTATTGCAACTGGAAATTTTGTATCTGAAGAAGTGGATTTTGGTCCGCAAAAGTTCACATGGCAATGAATGTTGGTCTGTAAAGTGCCACAGTATGTTGCTCTATTCTCTCTTTCTCCCCTCCCCCTTTCATTTTACAAATATGCTGAGGCATAGTAAGCTGGCTTCTTTGGAAATCGTTTTAGGACTGTGGGCTTGTAGAGGAAATTCTGTTTTTCAAGACCTCAAATCGCTTTTAAACTCTTACTTGTTATTATAGTAAAAAAGTTATTATAGTTAAAAAAAATTCACCCTTCACTCCCAAACACAGCATTTTTATCATCACAACATAGCATTATTTAGCTAAGGGTGGGGAAATCTCTTTTGCGTCAAACACCAAGTTTCATGCTAGAGACATTCTCAATAGCTGCAATTCCAGACGCAAGTACAATGAAATTGTAGGGCAAAAAGTGCAAACTCCTCTTCACTTAAAGCTCTTGTTGCCAATAACTAAGACGTATACCATGGGTTCAGCTTTTCAGAATGAAAACTCGTGCTGCCCCTGGTTCAACAGCCAAATACCTAACTCACTGAGCTTTCCATCTATATATCTCTACCTTTCTTGAGAAATTTGACTGTACTTTTATTTGTCTCTTTCCCAGTGAAACTTCCAAAAGTAACATAAAGAAAATCCTCCTGCAACTTGAATGCCATTTCACTTGGGCATTGCGAAAGGAAGACATTGATCCTGATGAACTGGAGCAAAGAATTCTTGATCAAATTGAGTTCTTGCCATGCAAATCCAAAGTCCAGAATTATAACCTGTTGGGCTTTGTGAAATACTTAAACGGTAAGAAAGAAGATGCTTTAGATAACTTAAAAAAGGCTGAGGAGGCTGTGAAAACAGAGCACCCGGAAGATATTGAAAAGCACAGTCTTGTTACCTGGGGCAACTATGCTTGGCTGTTCTACCACATGGACAACATGACAGAAGCCCGAACGTACATAAACAAGACGGAAATCCTGTGTAAGCGAAATAAAAGTACCTCACCTTACAAGATGAAACTTCCCCACATCTACTGTGAGAAGGCGTGGGCACTCCTCAAATTTGGGGCCAGTTATTATGAAAAAGCTAAAGAAAGCTTTGTAAAAGCCCTGGAAGAGGAACCTAATAACCCAGAATTTAATGCTGGCTATGCAATCGCCATGTACCGCCTGGAAAATTGTTCTGGGGGGAAAAAAGGAATGCAAAGCGCATCACTAGAACCATTGAGGCGTGCAGTACAACTGAATCCAGACGATGAATTTGTTGTGCCTCTTCTTGCATTAAAGCTTCAGGAAACTAATAATATTAAAGAAGGGGGAAGGTACATGGAAGAATCCCTTGCAAAACACCCAGACCTTCCTCATGTGCTGAGGTATGCTGCCAAATTTTACAGGAAAAAAGGGGAGGTGCAGATAGCTCTAAAATATTTGACCAAGGCATTAAGCTTAACACCAAACTCAGGCTTCTTGCACCATCAGGTAGGGCTTTGTTATAGAGCAATGTACTTTGACATGAAAAAGACACGTGGTTTCCATCACCAACCCACCGAAGAGATGAAAGAACTGCTCCGACTGTGCATTTTCCATTTCCAGACAGTGATAGAGCACAAAACCAAATTCTTCTTTGCTCATTTGGACCTTGCTAATATTTATGCAGAAGGAGGACAGATTCAGGAGGCAGAAGAAATGTTTCAGAGAGCATTTGGAATGAAGAAGCTGACGTGTCCAGAAAAGCAGCAGCTGTACTTCAATTATGGGCGCTACCAACAATTCCACAAAAAATCTGATTCTGAAGCCATGAAACAGTTCCTGGAAGGGCTGAAAATTGAATATGATTCGTATGACAGAAAGAAGTGCAAAGATATGCTGAAGAAGTTAATAGAAAAGAGAACCAAGAAAGGCCCAGCAGATGCAAAGAGTTTGGGTATCCTTGGATTCATTCACCAGCTGGATGGGGAAAAGAGGCAAGCAATCGAATGCTATGAACGGGCCCTGAAAATGGACCCCGGAAACGAGGAATACCTCAGTGCTATTTTAAATCTGAGACTTTCTTTACAAAACTAAAATTTCCCAACTGTGCAATCAAATTGTAGAGAGGCAAAAAGTTGACTTGATATCGCAACATGAACAAACAGATTGGGTGACAGTATATTTTGTGTTCTCCTTCCCCCTCTTCCCCCCCATCCCCCTTTACCTTTTGTATTCCTTACCTTATCCCTGGTTTTTAAAAATAAAAAATAAATTTACAAATTGAAAAAAAAATCCTAAAATTTCCCAACTGTGGCTGCACATTCTTTTTATTCAGTTAACGTTGCTTCAAAACATTGAACAACGTTCAAGAGCTATATTACAATCTATAAGTTTTTTTCAATATGACTTTGTAAGAAATGTTTAAATATTTCCAACTTTTCATAATATTGCAGTGGGTGCTGTATCACCTCACACCTCTATCAAACTTAATTGATGATTGTAAGATGTATGTACAAAACAAAGACTTTGATATTTAAAGGATAATTAAGAATTTTTTGAAGTAAAATTTTAATAGTAGACACAATGTTCATGGCAGGAACACTTCCTTTCTTATGACCAAACCAAATGCTATAAAAGTATGCAAGCTTTCTTTTTTCAAGAAATCTGCATCAGGTGGATATTTTGTTTAACATGTTAATAAACACTGATGTTTAAGCAATTAAGAGAATATCTAAGCTATATAATATTATTTTAGTTAAATAAAACAATTTAAGTAGTTCTCCAAATATGAGGGATTAATTTATTAAACTAAATCAGTTCTGATATTCAGTAGCTGTTTTACTAATCTTATTACTTTTAAGTACAGTATCCTAATACTAAAGATTATAACTGCCAGCAAGAATGAGACTTCACATTTAAAAATCATTATTTAAATCAACTTGATTTAAATCAAATCCACCCTGATAGAGAGCAATTAGAATTAATCTTTACAAGTAGTATCTCTGTAATGAATGCTAAATTTATATTTGCAGCATGCTTGTAATGCCATTGTGAATTAGACAACCAAAAGGCATATATGACGTTACATACGGGGAAATCCACAGGAAGGCAACCTCTAACTTTGAGTGAGGCAGAAACACAGCACACTTCCTTGGGAGTCAGCTTGCTAAAGTCAGTGGGGATGTCTTTTGAGCAGACAGACACAAGCTTGTGCTGTTGACAAGAGATAGGGCAGGGGTTGTCTTGAAGGTTATGCAGGATTCATATTTTCAGTGGGTTACAGTTGAAGACTTTTGGAACTTTGCCGTATCAATCGGTATGCCTGGTGTTCCCCAAACGTTTTGGAAGTATTGTTCCTTTTGTGATGGGGTTTGTAAGGAATTGTAAGAGTTTCTTGGACCAAATTCTTAACAGCTTGACTAGCTCTTGCTCATAATCTTTTTCTTAAAAATGAGTCCATGAGGAACCACAGGGGCTGCTTCAGAGAGTTTCTCCGGCAAATTTATACCAAAATAGTAGCCCATTGGGTTTCAAGAGCAGCTGTCTGACCCCATCCCAGGACAGCAGCAATTGGGAATGGAGTGCCAACAAGGACACTAGAGCTGAGAGAGGTGGCAAAGCCTGCATTGCAGCCACGTGCATTTCCGGTGACAACCATGAATCCAGGGGAATCTCCAAACCATGATCCTGCACATTCCACATAATGCAAAATTGCTCAGATCTGCTCTGACTCAGATGCTGTAGTTGATTCAGGTCCAGTGAATGTAACTGTCCCCTGCTTGCCCAGGGTTAATGGATGAGTTTCAGTTTATGCAATCTGAGGATTAGATGGGGGTATTCGTATACAAATATCCCCCCACAGGTGGAAATAACGAGGGTCATTTGGGCTGGACTGTCCATTCAACATTCGGCCGCTGCTGCGGGCACTATGGAGCCTTCCTATCATGCCGTGCTCTGCAATGGATTAGCCACTCTGAGACCTGGTAGAGAGGCCTATAATCCTGCCTCCAGCCAGGAGTGGCTAATCCATTGCAGAGCATCCTTAAGTCTCGAGAGACTATGGTAACGTGCTATGTACAGAGGTCTTGAAACAGCATCTAGTGTCGCTGAGAAGGCCAATTTGAGAGTGACAATCCCTTCCACATTGAAGACAAATACAATCTGTCCCCTGTCCAGCTCCCTGGTTTTGCTTGTTTTGGGACTGCCTCTTTGCCTTGGCCTGCTGTACAAGTGTCTCTACAAATTGGGAGAAGCCATGATGCCCCGCCTGCCTCCAGGCTGAACGCTCAGACGGCAAGGTTTCCCATCTGTTGAGGTCCATTCCTAAGGCCTTCAGATCCCGCTTGTAGATGTCCTTGTATCGCAGCTGTGGCCTCCCTCTGGGGCGGCTCCCTGCACTAATTCTCCATATAGGAGATCTTTTGGAATCCAACCGTCAGCCATTCTCACGACAAATAACCCCATCTCTACTGAAGACCCTTGGAGAGGTGAAGGCTGCCACAAATATGCTTCACCCTGGTCCTTCCTGCCTTACAAATGTTGCCATCAATGGACTGTTTGTGTGGGTAGGAGGAGTGGTGAATGTCTCCTTGCAGCAGGGTGGAATCCCAGCACGCTTAAAGGAGGCAATAGTAAGACCATTGTTGGAAAAGTCCTCCTTAGATCCCACAATACTCAGTAATGACCAACTAGTCTCTAATATGTTCCGTTCTTGGGCAACGTGCTCAAGCTGGTTGTAGCTTCTCAATTTCAGGGGTTTCTGGATGAGACAGGTTATCTAGATCCATTTCAGTCTGTTTTCAAGCCTGGTTATGGGACCGAGATTTCTATGGTTGCCTTGGTGTATAACCTACGCTTGGAACTGGACTAGGGGAGTGTGTCCTTGTTCTGCTGGACCTCTCAGTTGCTTTCGATACCATCAACCATGGCCCGTTTTTCTGGGATAAAGCTGTTTTAGCTCTAGATCGGTGTCTGTTGTCAGTAATGGACTGGATAAGGGGGAATATATTGAAGCTTAATTCAGACAAGGCAGATGTACTCCTGATCAGTCTAAAGGCAGATCAGGGAATAGAGATGCAGCCTCTTCTGGATGAGGTCCCACCTTCTCTGAAAATACAGGTGCGCCGTAAATTAAATAATTTACATAAATAAGTAAAAAACCCAAACTAAATTAGTCAGTAACTAAAGTCCCATTGATTTCAGTGACTCTAGTCTGAAGATTTGATTCTTCAGAAAACTTCCACTTTGTGAATGTGGGATGTTGTGCTTCTGTACCCATGATTCAACAAGCCAGGAAATGGCCCAATATTGCTGCACAATATCATGCTCACGCTGCCGGCAGGAAAAAGGATGCCAGGCTTTACATAACAAAGGGCAGCCTGAGTGTTGACAACACCAATGGCAGCAGTCAAGATAGTGTACAGGATACCCGCTTTTGCTCACTACCCTTCACAAAGTGACAGCACCAAATGGAAAATCTCAGAAGCTGACTCCTTTTTTCATCAGTTAACCACTTCTCACCCAAACACACAGCAATTGTCAGAGCTGTTTTTTGACAAGTGTGAATGGGCATCCTTTTGCCTGCTAGCAAGGCAGGCACAATATTTTACACAATCCCAAAAGGGGGGAATAGATTGTTTCCTAATAGGGCTAACAGGACAGTGCTGCTCCCCACTCCATTGTCTTTTGGGGGAATGGCTGCCAATGGTGGCCAGCGAGAGAGGACCTCACAGAACTGGCCCTTTACAATTTCACTGTTCCTTCCACGGAGCACCTTCCTTTTGAAGGCACGAAGCATCAGAATGTCTCTGTTCTGCTGTGCAATCTTGTGCATCTTTACTCAGGGGTAAGGGTGAAATCACATGAGAGATTAAATAGACATTGTGTGGCTAAATATCACTCCCCTTCCCTCATCAGTAAGCATGTGCAGCCATTAACCCAAACAAGGCCAGCAGGCATGGATGCAAATTATTCATATCTTGCTCCATTCTGGGTTTTATCTTTAAAGGGGGAGAATCTCCCCCACCATGCAGAGGAAGGAAAAAGTCTCTTCATAACAGTATAGGTACAGTACTTCCATTTTTAAAGCCCCATGTGTGCAGAATGTTTTACATGGAAACAGGAGGTGAAGAAAGATTCACTAGATCAAGACCATAAATGCTTACTGAAGAATAAAATAAATTATCTTTGTCTGCATTATATCATAGTGTGCAATTTGATCTAAATAGCCAGTGAGCCCTCACTCCCAGGGCATGCAATGTCTGGCCTTCCAAAGTTGGAGTGTAAGACCTGCTATTCCTCTCCATCAAGTACACTGGAAAAAAGTGCAACTCAGCTGCTTCTAGAAAATCCCAAAGCCCCTCTCCGGAGTGTTTAGAAATTATCTTGGAGAAGTGCCTTTTTGGACTACAACTTTCACCATCCTGTAGCAGGCATAATTTCAGCAAGTCTCTCTTCGTAAGAGAGACTTGCATAAATGATTTGCTGGGGAATTCTAGAAGACACCCACCCACCCATTCACACTCACCAATTTTTCTCAGGCTCTGGATCAGAAATGCATTTGCAGTAACAAACTGACAGAGTGACTGGGTTTTTTTGGGTTCTAGCTAAAATCACATGGTCTTTAGCCTGAATCTAAAACTTTCATCTCAGTGTGTCTTCATCACCATCACCACTGTTTTGGACTCTCCGCTGCCACCACTCCCACACTGCCTTGGACTCTCCCTAGTGCTGTGACGTTGCTGCCCCCACCCTGCCACCACTGTGGCAGATCAGGTAGCTCCACTCGGCCAGGAAGATGGGTGGCGAGAATGGAGGAGAAGGACAAGAGGGAAAGGTGTGGAAAGGGGCAGAAGGTCCACAGGGTGAGGGTGGGGAGGTGTGAGGAAAGGTGAGTGAATGGTGGGTGAGCAGGCAGATGAGCAAGGGAAGGCAAGTGGGGGGCTGAGCAAATGGAAGGGTGGGGAGAATGGAGAAGGAAGAGGATGAAAGGGAAAGGGGGCGGAAAGGGATCAGGGCTAAGGGATGAGGGTGGGAAGGCTCGGGGACAGATGAGTGAGGGGGGTGAGGGGGCAGTGGAGTAAGTGGGGCCCAAGTACGTGAGGGGAAGTGCAGTCAGCTGGACTGAGAGGGGGGAGAAGATGAGCAGGAAAGGGGTGAAGGGGTGAAAGTGAGAGTTAAACAAGT